ATGTATGGATTTTAACTTTTAAGTCCACTATCCAAAACAAAGTGAATTTTACCTCAAATCATAAACTAAAAACAGATCACGATGCAAAGTATGATCGCAGTAGGCTTAACAGAGTCATACAAATGTATCTATCTCATTACCAATTCAGTCCCGTAAAGTTATGAATCCCATCAATGGCATGCTGCAAAACTGCAACTGGTGGCCAAGATTCCGCAGCAGCAACAGCAACTTCACTCGTGGTGGACATATTTCTAGTTAACAAGAACCCACTTGTCTTCAACGGTGCATGAAGAAACTGAGACCATCTCGGATCTCGAAAACTCACAGCGCCACCGCCTCCGCCAAACCCTAGCGAACTGTTCGTGTTGTTACCGACGCAACCATATGATCGACTTTGGAGAAAACCCTTTAATTTATCATCCGTATGTGGATTTTTACGATCATCTTCGTAATGAGCATACAAAAACGAAGGGGCAAATCGTTGTTGAGCCAAAAGTTTTGCCCTTGTAGTGAGACTACGCCTGTAAGCCATCGATTGAATTTCCCCTTGATCGAGATTTACAGAAATTTACGAGAAATATGCATGAAAATTATTGAAGGACAGGTCGTTTATAAAAACAGTGTAATTTATGATATTTTTTTATTTTCTTATTGACCAAGATATAGTAATTAATCACGCTAATATACATTATAGTCCTGGGGTAAGTATTTGGATCTAACGGACCGGTTTGACAGAAATTAATGGAACTTGGACTAGACCTATTGAGGTTGGTCAGGTCTGGGTTTTCACGTTCTTGTACCGGTTGAATCGGTGCAACTTTAAATGCATATAGTACAACTCGTTAAAGACTTACCAAAAGTTAATTTATCTATTACGACTGTAGGGATGAGCATTTGGACTGAAGCGGATCAGAACCGGATAGGACCGACTCTTGAACCAGACGTATTTTATGGATTGATGGATCTTGGACCAGACATGTTAAGGCTGGTCCAGGTCCGGTCCAGTACAGTACAGTACAGTACAGAGGTCCAAATGTTCACCCCTACGTTACACATAAATGTGACATATATGAATGTTTTAACTTTTACACAACAATAAATGGTAATAAAGCAAAAATTCATCAATAAATACAAGCCATCGTAAATTTAAAATTCATATGGTTGTTGACTTAGTCGTTATAAGCAAATAATGGTTTGAAATCAAATTTTCTAAAAACATATAAAAAAACATCACAATCTCCTAAGAGTGCTTGTTACGGCACCCCCTCAAACAAAACAAATTTTATAAGGGCGGGTATGTTAGAATTTAAGCATTTTGATGAACGATAAACGTTTTTACATACATAGAGAGTAAAAATGCAATAAGAAATAAAAACATAATATTTAACGTGGTTTACTTGATTTGAGAAATTGAGTTACCTTTATAGTCAAATGTGTGTGTGTGTGAGAGAGAGAGAGAGAGAGAGAGAGAGAGAGAGATTTTATTAATAGTCGTCTAATTACACTTTTTGAATAAGGTTACGTTAAGTCACAAGGGATCTATCTATAAAAGCAAGCTGATTTAAATTTTGCGAATATGGCCAATCCAAGAAAATGACCGGCGAATTTGGCGCATGACACATTTAAATTCCACTTGGACTCTACATAGCGACAATAAGGTGAAAGAGAATATCAGACTTCACAACTAAACGATCTCCCACTTGGAGGTTGAATAACCAATATGCTATCATCTAATCTAGAACTTTGTAACCCTCATCTCTCTCCCGTTTATACTTTCGCTACAAACTATTTGTAAGCTCATTTAAAGGCATACACAAATTCAACTTTTCTGTCGTCACCGCCTTGATGTCTATTGGATTCTTCGTACCACGGATTTTCATAGAATTCAGAATGATATCACCTATCAATTATCGGATAAAGTGATACCTCATATAAATGTGTTTCATCCTACTATGAAATACTATATTCTTTTTCAAGTAGACTGTGCACTAGTTGTCAAAATGTATTACACAATCTTATTGTTTCATCCTCAGTTCTAATAGGAAGATCTCCGACCATATAATTCATTGCTTGCTTTTGTAATATCAGTACTATTCTGTAATCGGGACATCCAGTTGATTTACATACCCCTGTTTGTCAACATATAATTTTGTTGTACTTTTGTAATATCAATATTATTATGTAACATAGATATGAAACTAACTGATATACCCCTAGTTTTGAGCATATAATTTGTTGTGGTTTTTCTTAAATCTACGCATCTCCTTACATCAGTATCATCAAAACATTCCAAGACTACCCTTTTTCCTTTTGAAGCATAAGGAACACTCGGAAGTTCCTTTCAAGTAGCATAATAGCCACTTGACTCATTCTCAATGTTATTTCCCCCTATTAAACATAAACCTACTTATAACTCTCACTACATGAGCAATAGATGGTTTGTTGCATATCATAATGTACATCAAGCTACCAACTATTGAGGAGTATGGAACTTTAGCCATCTCTTTTTTGTCTTATTCCTTTTTTTTGTAGACTATTTCTTTGAGAATATAAACTGACTTCCCACAGGTATACTTTTGGCCTTAGTTTCTGTCATACTTAACTTATCTAGAACTTCCATGACGTACGTTGCTTGGGAAAGCTTTAGAATATCAACAACTTTATCTTTGGCTTGGCACGTGCCCTATATTTTCTTGGCAGCCCCTAGGTCCTTCATCTTGAACTCTCTGGACAACTACTTCTTCAACCTGTTGATCTCCTGCATGCTTGATCCAACAATCAACATGCCATCAACATATAATAGCAGGTTGATGTATGAGAAGCGAACCTTATTCAAGTAACAACATTGATCCATCTCACATATCTTATACTCTCTCCTCTATATGAGGCTATCAAACTTCAAGTATAACTATCGTGGAGTTTGATTCAACCAATACAAATTTTTATTTAACTTGCACACCATATTTTCCTTGCCAACTATATGAAAACCATTTGGATATACCATATAAATGTCTTCGTCTAGATCACCATTAAGAAAACAGTTTTACATCTAGTTGCATTATAATCTAGATGAAATTTTTTTGCAACATTATACACAAGACCAACCTAATAGTATCCATCTTCATAACTAGAGAGAATATCTCATTGTAGACCATCCCCTAATCTATTGGAACCCTTTAACCACTGATCAATCCTTGTACCTCTTACTATCATCTATCTCATATTTAACTCGAGACACCCACTTATTTTGTAATACTTTCGTTCACGTTGGTAACATGACAATGTACCAAGTATAGTTATTGTCAAGTGAGATCAACTCATCTTCTATAGCATTCTTCCACTATATGGAGTCTTTCGTCCTTAATGCCTTTGGGTAGCATTCAAGTTCACCATTTTCTATTAATAACAAGTAGTTTGTTGAAGGATAATATTTTACTGGAGTTTTTATTTCTCTAGTGGATCTTTGGACATTAGGATATTCAATCTCTTCCTTATTTGTAACTTTATCCACTAGGCTCCCATTATATCAGGCACATCTAAGCTCTTACTATTTCCTACACTTTCACCAATCTTAGGAGGACTACTAATAGGTTTTAAAATGTTTTCATATGAGATTCCATCTAATTTAACTTGATTTTCTTTTCTGCTTGCTTTTCTCTGTTGGGGCTTGCTTAAATCTCATCATTGTATAAGTCACTCTTGTTGAATGCTACACCCCGACTTGTGATAACCCTTTTTATCCCAAAAGTGGTAACACACTTTCTTCCAAATTGTAGCCTATGAAGGTGAATTTCCTTGCATTTGCCTCGAACTTGTTTCTTTTTGGATCCTTTCTTTTGACATATGAGACATATCCAAAAAAAAATCAAGACTAAGTGAAATCTCCCTGAACTAACCATTCCTCTTCTAGACTTTTGTACCTTATAGGGACAAACGGTCCTGATATGTATGCGTTTGTGATGACTAGATATGTCAAGATCATCAACATTTGACCTTTTCGTAATATTTTTTCAATTTAATTCTTATAATAAACTCTAGAAGTTAAATAGATTACACACATTTCTATTTAATAAAAAGGCATGAGATGGGACCCACTCAAATATTAATTTAGCCATTGAATGGGGATACACCATTCAACCCTCCATAATGCTTTGAAGTTCTATTAAATGTCATGTTATTTATTAGGGAGGATCATGGTATGTGTGGAAGTTTAGTTCCTAACTTTCATTATCTCTAAATGACATGCATTTATTAGGTTTTATATTTGTGTTCTACTTATTATAAACCTAAAGAAATATGACTAGTATGTTGATTTTTTATGGTTTTAAAACTGACCGAATATAATAACGACTCCATACCTATTATGGTTTATAACCCGTGTCAAACCAGATAAAAACCAAACCACAAGTAAAACCGAAAATTGCACCACACACAAAAAAGGAACCATACAATTTTCTTAAACTAAGACGCGCTCTTTTTGATTTTTGGATTGGTTTAACCAAAAATCACACTAAATTACACCACGTGCACCCCTAGAAAGGGGCCATTATATCATTCCGATGTTAAAAGACCAAGTTTAATTAGTTTTCATGACATTTTGCTATAGATTTTGTTGAAAGAAATCTTTAAGATTTTGGTCCTCTAGATGTCATGTTAGTTTTTAGAGTAAATTGAAAATTTAGTCTCTATACTTTATCCAAATTTGCAATTTCATTCCAAATTTTTGTAATTGTCTCAATGTTGTCGTTCCTAAGTTTGCATTCAGTGCGGATGTAGTCTCTTTGCTTTAAACAAAATTGCAAGTTTAATTCAAACTTAAAGTCATGTCATATGGGTCAAAAATAATATTTGCAATTAAATGTAAACTTAGGGATGACACATGAGTAAATAACAAAATTTGGATGGATTTTCAACACAAACTGATATAAATATAATTAAGAGATATATAAACATGAACAAACAAAATTTTGGAGATCTAAATCAAAATTCATGCAATATTACTTTGTACAAAAGTTGTATACATTGCTCCCAACCAAAAATACATATAAAATATCTCCGAAATCACCATGTTTTTGGTTATAAGGGAGTTTATACTTTATATTGTTTTAATCTAACAATTACACCCATCAGTAATAATAATACTCAAGAACACCTTCCTCATTAACATATATTAAAGCAAACAGATATCAACATGGAAAAAGGAGGTAGGTGTTGCCAGATTTCAAGAAATTTACAAGTATGCCATTGTCCTGTCCTTCTTTAATGCATAATACATATACAAGCTGTTTGAAGCAGCACATGCGATTAAGTTCTCATTTGGATGCCATGCCAGGTGGAGCAACTTTGTTGAAAAATCATAACTGTTGTTTCCATTTATGTCAACTCCTGAGTTATCCAAACCTACCAAATTAATATTATAAATGATTCTTAAAATTATTTGAGAAAACTCATTGTCGGATTAAATGTACATTTCAATTTTACATACCTCGCCTGCTGCCAACAGCATGAGAATAGTTTGCAGGGGATCTTAAGAATCTTGGAGGGGTTTGGATTTGTCTCCTATTTTAGTTAATTACAATTTACAAACATCAAATATTATAGTATATACTTATATATTAAGTTTTTTTTTATTAAAATAAACACAAGTAAATGAATGGTGTATACCTTGTGGGATTCTTGGTTGCCTCTAAAGTTGTTGCTTCTGAGCTCCCCTCAGAACAACCAAAAACACGAAACAAATTGCTGGATTACAAATTATAGGTTAGTACAACATAAAAATATAAGAAAAATTATATAAAATAACTCATTTTTGAGGGATATAATAGAAAAAAAAAAAAAAAGGTAATCAAGTCAAGAATATGAAAGTCAAACCTGTAAGAACCACTTGCCACCCGTTGTCCATCACCACTCAGACAACACTCAAACTTATCAAATATCGAATCGTTTTCATATAAATCACACAACTGAAAAATAAATAAGTAAATAAAGAATGAGCTGACCTTATTTCATAATATGAAATTATATTTATAAAGTTGTTAAAAGGTTTATAATTAATTACCTTGGGTCTCAAATGTTCATGCACTTGGAAAGTTGCAACTGGGCCGGGACCCATATTTATATCCCACAGCTGATCACAAATAATAAAAAAGAAAATATTTTTAATAAATATTTATGGAAAAAATATATATACAAATGAAATATTTAAAAAAAAAAAGTACCTTAAGTGTCATGTAGTCGCGACTCAGTATATACCTACCCCCCTTTGCAAACTTGATATCAGAAATTGAGGAAATAATGTCTGTGAAAGAAGATCTTGAACCTTGAGGTTCATGTTCTTCAAATCTGTAACAGTAAATGAATAATAAGAAATATAAATGAAGGAAAATAGTTTAGTAAAAAATTCAAAATTGTATTTACTTACAATTTGCTATGATTGTCACATAAAGCTGATTGCCTCAAATCAAGAAGCCTTATTGACCCTTTTGAGCTACTATAGGCCAACATATTACAATGTGAAGGATGAAACTCTGCTGAAGTTATAACCTCTGTACAAACAAATTTTAACAATTGTTAAAAATATTATAAACCTAGTATTTAATTTGAAAAAAAAAAATACTATCACCAGTTAAATCATCCATGTTTGCAGGCTTCATGTCAACAATATTAAAACTCTGACTGTTGATTTCAAAGTTCCAAAGGTTTATGCGTAAATCATCAGCTGAGATAAATGTTTCACCATCACTACAAAATGGAAATAATTAATAAATAATCAGATAACATTTTAAATGTATATTAAATAAAGTAAAAGTATTGAAGCACACCTGTTATTAGAAATGGAATTAATATGATAGTCATGAGCATGGGCATATGTTCTTCTACATCTAGCTAAAAGGCTGGAGTCATGACTGGTTACCTGAACATAAAAAGTTGGAACTTTTAATGAAAATAAATAATTATTTAACTATTAGAAATAATAAATAATTAGGCTGCAATCTGCATAGAACTACCATAGGTAATCGTAGAGATGTATGTACATTTGAACTATTAATAAAACCATTGCTCAAATGATTTGAAGGGTCTATATTAAAGTTGCATATCTTCTTGATCTTCTTTTCTTGGACCTGGTAAAAATTATAAGGAAATTAGCATAGATTGAAATACAAATAATAATCCCAAAAAAGTAGTATAAAACTTTTTTATATTCATACCTTCCAGAACTTTATGGTTTTATCATTAGTGGATAGCAGAAAAAGGGAACTGTTAGCTGTTTGACACCATTTAATCTTGTTGATTTTCTCTTCAATTTCCAAGCTTTTTAAATAATCAAACTGAAATCACATAAATATGAGAATAAATATACATGATCTATGATAAAATTAACACAAAATGACAAACAAACCTCAGGCTCATGACTTTGGAATTCTGTTTTATAACGGAATTCAGGGTGACGGCTGCTGGAACAATCCATTCCTTCTAGAACTCTTCGAAGAACACCATGCTATATTATACATTTTCATGTTATAATGTGAATTAACAAGATAAATGAACAAATTTTAAAGAACATGATCAATGATCATGGAGCATACATCTATTTGGTCAGTTCTTTCAAATAAAACCACACGACCTCCACGATCTCCGGTTGCAAGATGATCACCAGTTTTATCAAATTCTATTGCTGAAATGACATCAACTGCAATGAAAGCATTCAAAGTGTAAATAGATGCAGATGATTTAGCATTGATTACTCAAGATAATGACATCTAATAAGTTTCCCCTCTATGTTTTGGCTTAAGTTATCAGAACTCAAAAGGTCTGTATTTTCAGTTTAATCGCTGCATTCTGTAAATAGATACATAATTTAGCATATTGGAAACCAAATTCCCTTAGCTTCAACTTTAGATGATCAAGCAGAAGGTATAGCTTCATTACGTACATGCAAAGAATTGCATTATCAATCAATTTTCAATTGGAAAAGTACAGGTTCAATTAAGAATCAAAACGTCCCTGTTTTTTTTTTTCTGCGACAGTAAGAAACAGAAGAAGCGAGAACGAACTAAATCAAAACAAAACCACAGCGAAATTGAATACACCAAATTTGATTAACAAAACCAAAGCGAAATTTACTTAGAAATAGAAAAAATACACATCGATTAAAGATTGTTTGTACCTTCTTGAACCTCTTCTCCTGCAGCACGTTCACCAAAAACCTGAGAGAATTTCCAGTCTAAGCCAGCTGGAGTCATAGCCACGTCGCCCTCGCCGTCCATTTCGCAAACTTCAAACACAAGAATCGACGACTCAAAATCAACCCGATTGTCGCTGAAATGAAATCAGAAATGCAAAGTCTGGAGTTTAATGGTTTATCGAACACCAGAAACGATTTCTATACACTAATCCGCATTTTCCTTCGTCTTGGATGAGTGAATCGGGCATGAATTTGGCCAATTGACACTGAGTAGATGTGTAAAAACCCCACGAACGCATACACTATGAACTATGAAGTAAATAATTTCTATATTTGGAATCGATTCGACGAGGATTGTAGAAAGATTTTCACACAATCTGAGTATCCTCTTTTTCTCGTTTTCTTTCTCACATTTGGTAAATGGAATCTCTCCCCTTCCCCACGAAAACACACTTTCGCAATTTAATCTCACCATTAAATAAAACAAAAAAACAATTCGTCATTAATTAATTTTTATTAATAGATTATTGTTGTATCTTAATTTTTTTGTGCAAACAAACAAACAATATCATCATCATTAAGGTAACTTATAGACTTATCGTTCGGTCAAATATGATTAACACGGTTTGGAAAATCCAAACGATCATTTTAATTAAACTCAAAATCATTTTTTTTTAAAACGGCGAATATTATAAAAACGTACCCAAATAGTTATAACAAAATTGATTACTACATGGCTGTGAAAGAAAAGTTAAAAATTCATTTTTCAACAAAACTAATTTTAATTTTCATAGGGTAGAATAACTAAATTAGAATGTTAAATTAAAAGTTATAACAAAAGTTTAATTTAAAAAACGATAAGGATTAAGATAAGTAATTGTATCTAATGTGTAACCAATATACTCCCTCCGTCCCAAAATTATAGTCCATCTTTCCTTTTTGGTTTGTCCCAAAATAATAGTCCACTTTTAAAAATAAATAACATTTTTACCAAAATACTCCCTCATTATTACTTAACCAACTAAGCATTTAATGGAACATTAAATGCAAAGTAAGGACAAAGCTGTCATTTTATTAAATAAAGTTAGTGATAATTAATGTTTTTCTTAATATGTGTGTTTTTTGTCCGTGGACAATAATATTGGGACGGAGAGACTATTAATTAATTGTTTATTACGTTTATTTTTAAAACTTAATGATCATTTTAAAACATATATGGAAAAACCTTTTAAACTTGGCTACTAAGTAATCAACGCCTAGGGAAATGATGGAAATGAAGGAAAATAAAGAAGGCTCATCTTTCCTTTTATTTTTTTCTTTTCTTCATCATTCCACATTTGAAATGATAGATTTCAACGCAAAAAATGCTCATTTGTTTTTCCTATCTTTAAATAAAAACATGTTTTCTTTTCTTTCATTCCCTTTTTTTCTTTAAAAAAAACTCAAAAACTCAGTTTTCATCCTATTTCATTCCTTAAAACAACAGGAGAACCAATTACAAACAACCATATAAAGTTAATTCAAAAATTATATATATATATATATATATATATATATATATATATATATATATATATATATATATATATATATATGTGTGTGCGCGCGCGCGCGCGCGCGTGTGTGTAATTAAGTAAATAAGTCTATTAAAAGGATTTAGGATTGTGAAGAAAAAAAAATCCTAACAAAGAAAGTAAGAATTCACTCCTTATAGTACATACACACACAATAATAACAAAGGAGTTGGAAAATGAATAAGATGAAAACGAAGTTGGAGAAGTACTTGCAAACTCTTTCATTTTTTTTCGTTTTGGATTTCTTTCGTGGAGGCAGTAGTAATGAGAGAAATTGATGTTGGTTAGGGAGTAGCGAAGGCCCATCATCGATGATTTTGATGTCTTTGTGGGTAATCTAATCGTCGGTTGTATGTGGAATTTCATGCCTTTCCATTCCCAAGAATGTCACTTTTTGTGCTTCAAACGTTTTGATGATGGTCCCTCCAATTTGGGATTTAAAATCCCAATGGTGTGTACCTGTTTGTATATATTGCATGAATTGATATTGCCGAGTGTGATGAAAATTTTGAAGTGTTGCTACTATTTATATATGTTTGCTTATATTTGTTGCGGTTTCTATATATATATCCTTATATGAGTTTTGAGCAAATGTGTTCGCGTTTAAAAATGTGTATGTGGTTGTTGGTTTTCAAGATGAAGATGACGATAATGTGTCAAGTATGATTGTGTTTAAACATGTGTATATTGTTGTTTTTCTTTTTTAAAGATATGTAGAAATATGGCGTGTCTTATGATATAGGAGGTATATTTTTTTGGTGGTTAAGTACGGTGTAAACAAATGCCAAAAGAAATATTATTTTTGTTTTTTTATAAATCACATCATTGTATGGTTAAAGTCTTGAAGAATTCAACTGATGTGAATTTTCAGATGAAATTTGGAGTTAAGACGTGTTTAATGTTTTTGGAATTTATTAACTTAATAGTTATAGTTATTCTACTATAAATTTTGAAATGTGGTAGTTATAATGTAATTAATCTTTTCTTTAATTATATCAATTACATTTTTTGGTATATTTTAATCTACTAACCGTGTGGAAAAAAAAGATAACAAATAACAAATAATAATAATAATAATAATAATAGTAATAATAATAATAATAATAATAATAATAGTTGCTACGTGTTTACATTTTATTTTGAAGAATATTAAAAAAAAATATCACCCAACAATAAAAATATTGAAAAAAGCATCATCCTTTGATGTTTAAACCTCGTCAAATATTTTAGTTATACAAAAAGAAAAATTGAGTAATCTAATCTTTTTTTTGGGTTTTTTTAAAATATAACATTTTTTTTTGCAAAATAACCACATATTCCGGAATTGGTCGTTTTGGAACGAATTCCGAATTATTTTCGGGTGGCCGGACCCATTTCATTGGATCCGAAATGTCTATTTTGGATCAACTGTATATGTTCCGGATCTGGATTTTGAATTTCAAATTCTGAAATATAATTTGAGGCAGCGATATCATTCCGGAAAATCGCATTCCGATTCCGACGTTCTGACTCGATTCCGACGTTCCAACTCGATTATGACGTTCCAACTCGATTCCAACACGCAACTTACATCTCCGACACACATAGACACTCATCTCCGACATGGAAGACGAACACTACGACCCCGTTATTTTACGGGTACGTTCTTCGTTTTCTTTTTGTTTGTTTAAGGTTCCTATTTTTCTACTGTTACTTACTGTTCCGGAATTCGTAGACCACCTTTGGACTGAACTGAAAACGTTCCGGAGTTTAAATTAAAGATGTCATTGTTGTAGGACCAACTGAAAACTAGTTTAGATGTTTAGGTATTGTTGATTTACATCGAAATGTCGTGTTCCGGATCTTAAAATTTTATTTCGGAAGCCTCCGAAACGCTAAGAACTGTTCCGGAACACGATGAACTCGTCCGGAACATGAAGAACAGGTCCGGAACTGCTCCGGAATATTGGTCATTTCCATTTATAATGAAGTGATAGCACCTTTTTTATTTGTGTAGCACGACATGGTTTTTAATGCATTAATTACACTCTCGTGTAAACCCAAAATCAACGGGAAAATTCTAGCGGGATTCATAAACAAACTCGAATGCGATACTATGTTCTGGAATACATGTTTCGAGAGGTGGTTAGACATTCCTAATGTAGATGGGGATCATTTGCTTCTACATTACGTCTTTTGCCACGAAGTTGTCACCGACCCCCGAAGCCAAGTAGTGGAAATAGTTTTTGAAATTGGGGGTTACGAGTTATCTTACGGATGAAAGAATTTTGTCTCGTCACCAGCTTCCGGTTTGTTGACTATTTTCCTTCTTCTGCATCCAGCGCCACCTTCCTCTGTTCCCGTGTCTTTCCTATGGTCCCGACGAATGTCTCAGTCAAATTACACCATGTTATGAATATGTTTCAACATTCACTTAATGAGTTATCGGGTGAGGATGCAGTTCGTGTATGTCTTCTATACCTGTTAGAGAAGGGTTTCAGTGGGTGGTTGGCTAAACAGTCTGTTACAGAAGAGTATTTCGCTTTGCAATCAAACCTTGATGAATTCAACAGGTATAATGTCATCTATTTTATAATTACTGATTAATTAAATTACCTATCGTTACTAATATTTTTTAGAAATTTAATTGTTAACTAATTTTTTATGTGGCAAATATCCATGGAGGAGGATAATTTGGGATCAATTGTACAAACAGCTCTATGTTGTATTCAATAAGGTTGACAAGCTTATACATCCAGAAGAACCGAAAGAGAACGAACCTCAAAAATTGACCTACATCCTACAGGGATTTTTATACGCTTTTAAGGTAAGTATATGATGGAAATTTTATTATTTATTTTTGTTTGCTAACATTCTAACTATTTTTTATTTATTTGTTTGCTCACATTCAGATATGGATTCTTGAAACTTTTCTGGTGAGCAGTTTGTTTGGTACCCGACAACAGAACGTGATCCCTCGGGCTGTTGCATGGTCAAAACTAAGGTCGTTACAAAAGACTCACTGCAACCAGTTTTTACAAATCGACGAGGTATGGTTACTTTATTATTTAAATATTTATTTGTTTTATAATTTATGTTTATTTATAATTTTATAATTTTGTTAGCAGGGTAATAGACTCGTACAGAAGTTGGAGCCGACAGAAGATGAGATGCGTGCTGAATGGTGGATTGTTAGCTCGGTATGGATTGATCACCCTGATTTTCCCGACACTGAAGTTCACATGGCAACTTCCCTAACACTATCAACCAAAAACTCCCCTGCCCATGAGCCTCGAGAAAAGAAGGCACGGATAGATGATCCATCTCACCGGCCACCACCACCACGGCCGCCCGCTGACCCATCAACTGACAATGGTCGAATTATTAGTGACTTGCAGAACGAGGTCGGTTAATTGAAAAATGAGGTCTGTGAATGTCGCGAGCAGTTACGGTCTCATGATGAGCGTTTAGCAGAGCTTGAAGCTACTTTAGCCATGGTTCTAAAACTCACCAATAAGACTCTCGGAGACGATGTTGATACCTCGAAGGGGGTGGAGGTACTTTTTTAATTATTTCATCATTTATGGTCGTTATGTCTTTGCATTGTTTACAAGTATACATTATTGAATCGTACATGGATACTACTGATGGGTTTTAGGCATAACAAAACAAACTTAAAACTCTTAAGTGTGAATGCAACCTAAAACAATAACTATGTTTTCTCTATTGAACCTATAACTATGAACATCAAAACAAGAACCCTAGAAACCCTAGGTAATTTTCGAAAAAACACATAAAAGGGTTTAGGATTACATACCGTATTGTTATTATAGCAAATAACAGTGATCCTTGTCTTGTTGAAGCTTTGGAAGAAAGCACCACGAGTGGCGTGCCCCTAGTGGTTCATACCCAAGCTATCAAGAAGGAGATTATGGAGAGAGGAGAGGGGAGAGGGGAGAGTATAATTTCGGCCAACCCGTGAGGAAGAAAGTGATAGCCGGAAATCAAGGGGCAAGGGGTCCTTATATAGTGCAACTAGGAAACCTTAGATAAGCCCAAAATCAATATAATAATATTATTTTGAATTGGTAATTATCCAGTTTCCTAATTATCCTCTAAGGATAATTTCGGAAACCCTAAAGGCCTCTAGAAACCATCCACCCTATGTGTGGAAGGTTTTGGAGCCTTTTTCTCAACTATTGAACAATTGCTCTTTAGACCCTACACTTTCAGTTAATTCCATTGATCCCCAAATTAATTCCAATTAATTTTTGATTAATTATTAATTAAATATTAATATTTCTAGTTAACATATTATTCTCATAATATATTAACAAATTATTTATTTCAATTTATTAATCAAATAATAAATCAACCTCTCTCTCCAAAAATCATCTTGTCCAATTGCTAGGTTTGAGGGCAACCCAAAAGGACTGTGTTGCTATCAATTCAAGTTTATACCAATTATAGTTATGGGCTTAGACACCTAATCCAACAATCTCCCTGTAACGCCCCGTTCCTGGTACGTATTAATTTATTAAAAGTCTTTTATAAAGAGCTACTCGACGAGTAGTAGTCCTAACTCGTCGAGTAGATGTCAGGTTTGGACGCGGGTCTTAAGTGATCTACTCGGCGAGTCCGCGCTTGGACTCGACGAGTAGGCCAGTTTGGATGAAACCCTAATCCTTAGGGTTTGTACCCTATTTAAACGTCCTTATAGCCCCCATCCCAGCCTCCATCACCCCTAGAGCGTTCCCCCTCAAAACCCTAGCCTCCATTGGTGAGTTTGAGTGATTCCTTCTTGATTTTGAGTGTTGTGGTGTATTCTTGGAAGTGTAGAAGAGAAGGAAAGAGAGAAGGTGCAAAGGAGAAGAAGGAGATCCAGAAGCTAGCTTCCATCTGCTTCATATTCTGGTAATAAAGTTATTACCTTACTCATTCTTCCATTAAACCCTCTTTTATGCTTGTTTATGTCTCTTTTGGAGCTTTATATGATTCAAAATCGAGATTTGAGCTCTCCTTGGGATGGAGACCATAGATCTGGATATTATTGAGCTCTAGGAGCTCAAAGTAGCTACCTTTATGCAAAGCAAGGCCTTGTTCCAAACCCTAAGTGTTTAGTGTTGGATGACTTTGGTATTTTAGCCCATTCTCGTGTGCATGCACGTAAAGTTGGAAACTTTACGTGCAAAACCAGTCCTAGAAGCCCAGATCTATGAATTAGATGCGCTGAAATCGACTAGAATCGACTGTACAGTATTGGCATGCAGGAGACTCGGCGAGTCCACGCCGTGACTCGGCGAGTCCAAGGCAATCTTCTTGCCTCAAGAACAGACTCGACGAGTTGTTCATACAACTCGGCGAGTCACAGTCAGGACGTGTTCATATGATGAAGGAGAACCTGACGAGTTGTTCATACAACTCGGCGAGTCGGATGAAGTTAGATTCGACGTAAGTACGAAAGAAGAACTCGTCGAGTAGTTGCCAAAATCGACGAGTTGAAACGAGTAGAGAGTTAGAAAACGTGTTAGGGACTCGGCGAGTTGGCGGCC